GAATTTCGCGGATATTTATTTACGGGGAGTGCGTGACAGACGCATGCGAAGCGGAGCGGAATTGGCGCGTTGTCGTGTTACTGTTTCTATTTTCTTCAATAAATGATGAAATTTCATCGTCGCCAAAATGCTTTTCTTCGTTAGATTAACCTAGTAAACTTTGATCAATATTCGCCACCCACTCCGATTCCTCGTAGTCAAAAAATGAATTAAATTGTCCGCCATTTTTTTTTTTACAACTTCAATCCAATTCCTCGCTTGCGGGATGCGAGAAAACCTGTCTAACCGGTTCTCTGAAGTACAAATACCGTGTGATATTTCTTTTCCTCTTGGGCGCTATTTGTACTCTACGGAGTGTGGTTCGGATGACTGAATATGATAAAATGGTCGAGATTCTTTTCTTTTCTTATTATTATTATTTTTTTGCTTTTCTATGGAGCAATAAGGGATTTATTACGTAGCAAAGAGACTTTCATAACGTAGCCTTATGTTTTAGTTTTGAATCGGATTGGTCGAGAGGTCAACGTAAGAATTCTTCACCAATCACTAGACCAAAGCAGGCCCTGTAGCCGTTGATTTTTGTCCGCCTTGAGTTACGAAGCAGAGAAGCCGCAAAATTAGGCGCTGACGGAATGATTGCAGAAGGAAGGTAGTGGGGGAAATAACCCATTTGCAAGATGTATTTACCCGCACAAGGAAGGAGGTTCTTGCCGATATTTGTGAGGAGAGTGGGCAATGGAAGAAAGCGCAAAATGAAAATTTATGGCGTTTTGAGTTTCATCCACGCAAAGGGAAAATTCCCCTGTGGCGATTTTGAAGAAATGGCATACACCGAATCGAAATAAGGCTCCAATTTGAATAGCCATTGTTCTGGACTCAGCAGCCTCTCATACATGTGGTAATCTTATTGTGTTTCCACGTGAAGACGAAGCTAATGAGTCCAGAAGAGTGGCAATTTAAATTGAAAGCAATATTTTGATTCGGTGTATTGAGAGTTATGTTTTGCCCGCTTTTTTCGGTGTTAGATTCATTAGTGGGGAAACAGATGTCATGAACCGAGAAATTCTGAAGAGTTGGATTTTTTTATTCCGCACATAGTCTTCACTTTGTATATCCATGATTTATGTGCATTAAGTAGCAATTTAAATTTTTACAATTTTCTTTCATACATTTACATTCATCGTTCGTTTGGCTTCTAGAGAGTGAGTACAAGAACATTCCTATGTTCAACACAGAAAGGAACGAAATTCGCTTCGTCGAAAAAAGCAAATGTACAAATTAATTTCTGCAAGAAGTTTTTGTAAAAACAAATTCACAGCTACAATTCTACCACGCCTGAGTAATGCAAATTTCGTAGGATATTGAAGGACAAACTCTTTCTTCACAGAAAAGTAAACCTGTCTACTCAAAACAATTTTCGTTGCCAACTGAAATCCTCGTGAAAATCGACGAAATTGGGAAAATTATAATAAGACAGGTAGAGGATGGCGGTGGCCATTCGCACATTTTACACTTCTTTCCCAATGGGACTGAATTCTCTGGTTCATTTCCCAGTGCTTTATCATTTAACCCAATCACGTTGTGTCCTCGTCCTCCTCATCAGATTCCGCCGGTGGGACTGGAAACTGGTTTCTGTGTTCCACCGCCCAAGAATTCCGGCGAGCTTTAATTTTAAACTCTCTCCATTTTTGGCCTGAGGCTAACCAAGAAAAAAATTTTTAAATATTTTGAGCTCAAAAGACAAAAACCGTCAGTGAAATGATGTAACAGAGGATAAAATCATAAAATCGTCGACAACGGTGGCACGAGATAAATTGCAAGTTTACTCCAAGGTATTAACTATAGAAAGTTTCCTTACCCAAGCTAGACGTTTCCACCATTGAAACTTTCCTCTCTTGGAAAGACTAGGAAGAAGTACACTGTTTATTAGAAGGCCGTTCCGTTTGACATTAAAATGAGAAGCAACGTTCGTCACAGACATACATAAGCAAGCGAATCAAGCGGGTGAGTTTCTAAAGAAACTTTGGTGCTGCGTCAGTAGGAGTAACAAGGTAATTTTGGTTTTATTAACTGAGTTGCTAGTGCAGATTGGTGACCGTAAAGAGTTTCAAAGCTGACGTTTCAAACGTTACCCCTCCGTCAAAGCGAAGAGTTAACGCTCGAAACGTCAGCCTTGAAACTCTGAACGGTCGCTAATTTGAATTATCGACTCAGTTGATAAAATAAAAACATAAGCGAGTTTAGGTTTGGGCGTCGTTAAGACGCCAACGGCTGGGCAAACAGATAGGAATTTTGTCGTCAACTTTCGAGCTCAAAACAGGAGTGATTATGTGTTACATGTTTGTGTTCCGATGATTGATGCACTCACCTGATTAGGATCCCGTTGAGCTGCTACACACATGATAGACAAGGCCTGCTCCATCGCTGAAAATTGGAAAAGAGACACGATGTGCGGGTTTTAGAATTACCATGGCGGTAAAAAAAAACCAAGATGAATTGCTTACTGCATATTCCTTAAAGGGTAATAAATAAAAAGGAATGATATGGCAAACGATCTGGTAAAGTGCAGAAGTCACATTAGCCCCGACATAAATAAGTAGATTCATCTCTACCGAGGCCGTTGACAAAAAGTTAACTGATCACACTTACTGCGAAGGCGAAGCTCAACCTTTCGCAAGTTTCGAAATATCCCAGCTATCTCCTGTAAGACAAAAAAAAAAACAAAAAAAACTTAAGGGCCACTAGTTACTCAGTTGAAGCACCGTTAAATAAAGTTGATTGATTGATTGAAGGACTCCAAAACAAGCAAGTGCCGCAGAATTATATCCTAAGTTGGCTCAGTGGAAACAAAATAGATACTTATGTTCGAAAGTTGAAATTACGCGATGTTTGGTTTTGGTAAATGTTCTCAGAACCTGGCGCAAACCAGCGCATCGACAGCAACGAGAACGTGTTCAAACAAAAGATATATTAGGTAGAAGAATAGTTCTGCACGTGCGTTTTGAGACTGGACATTTTCTTGTTGTCCTCTGCTTAACAACAACAAGAAATCACCAATTTTTGTTTCGTTCGAGAACAAGCGTTGTTTTGGTCTGCTGTTGGGCTTGAAGCCCAACAGCAAACCAATTGCGCTTCTAAGTAGAATTCGACGACACCTCCACATGTTACCTTGACGAAGAGGTCAAAAGCCTCTAAAAACTGCAAAAGCATGGAAATACCCGCGAAACCCGAAACAAAAAGTAAGTTCATTTCTTTATCAATGTTTTAGTGAGCGTCGCCGCAATCACTGCGTTAGGTGCCTTTTGATAGACGAGAAACACTACCATGAAGCCTAACTATGATGTGCAAGACCCAATTTCCCTTGCCCACCTCTGCACTAATCGCCCTTGTGTTTTGTTTCTACAAAACTCTGCACCAGGTTATTGTTCACATACCGCGTGAGAACTCTTCCAATCAGGAATAGCACTCTGGGATTCCTGTTTAGCATCAGAATCCGTCCTTGATCTTGACGTCCCGTTCAGCTCTTCGCTTCCATCATAAAGAGTTCTGAAAGGCAACCATTCATTTAGTATTAGTTCGATGCGCTATTTTCCCAGAAGGCCTTTTGATTCAATATACAGTGCACTATTTGTTAGCCCCCAGTTAAGTTTCAACGTTACGTATTTTTCTCTGCCACTCGAAGTAACACAACAACAATCTCTTACTCACACAATACACTGGACAATCCAAGCACTCACAGATTTCGGGTGCAGGATATCAAAGAACCCTGAACATCTTGTGACCTTTAGCCCGCTTGATTCAGTTTTTCGAAATCTTAATTTCCTGACATTTGCTTGTTTTTATTCGTTCCTTCTTGTTTTACCTCTTTGGTGTTTCCCATCGAAGAAAAAATACTTCAGGGTCTTAAAATAGTCGACGTTAAATACAAAATTAGAAATCGAAGCTTCGGTCCTTAAAGTTCGTGTGTTTTCAAAAGAAAGACAAGATTTATGAACGATGGTGACAAATATTTTACGTACTTCACTTTACACAGCACGGATTCCGAAGCCAGCCGTAACTCTACGGAGAATGCGTGAATAGAGGACAACATCAGATCCTCAACAGGCTAAAAACACAATGATAAAAAATTTTAACGATTAAAACCTTTCATCTCTCTTATACTGATGAGTTAGCAAAGATTGTGCCTCTCTTCATAAGACTCGAACGAGAAAATGAAGCTCGAGGGTTTGGAAGGCAAAACATGCTCTAGACTGTATGTGCCACAGCTTAATCCAATTTGTTTCAGGATATTTTCAAATATTTTTACCTAGTACCCCATTGAAATCATACAAGAAGCCGGAAAACTGGGCTCAGCTAAAGGACTTCTTGAAAAGATTCCAATCAGCTGGGCTGCTTCAGATTGCGAAATCCCAACCTACTGCTCTTTTGAGAGCAAAAATCAAATAAGTTTCGTTTAGTGAGAAGGCGAGTTGGTTACGGAGATCTTGGTAATCACTCTAGTAATTCCCCGTATGAACACTCTAGGAAAGTTACCCATACAGAACTTCAAAGGTCACGCCTTTATTATCTCAGTAACCGAGAGGAATTTTCCTTTCCATATGCACAGCAATCGGGTTTTTAGTTTCCGTTCAGAAACCGGGAAGGAAGCTGCTAAGGGAATGAAAGACAAAATTGTTTCCGCAATAGCCCAGCTGCCAGGTAGAAGGATACCCTACACAAGTCAACGTGAACTTACCTTGTCAGTGACACCCCACTGCCTCCGGCTTTGTGAAGATGCTGCTCCCCCCTTAAAATCAAACGCTTTCTTTGCAGCAGAACTCGGAGTCAAAGGAGGCGAGGGGGAGGCAGCAGGTACAGTCGAAAACGCTGACTCCGGTGAAATGGGCCTACTTTCTGCTGTAGAACAACGAGACCCCCCGGATGTGTCTTCGGCTGAGTCACTGGGAGGTTCAAAAGGTAGGTCTGAGACGGGGGGTGTATATGACAAGTTTTCCAAGAAGGGTGCAAATGGTATAAGCTTACTACGCAAGCTAATTCCTTTCGCGTCGGTTGTTTCCAGTCTTATCTTCGTTGGTTCTTCACGAGACGGAGAGGTTGGTGCAGTGTTTCTTGTAACGACACCATTACATTCAAGGACGTTTTCACTACTAGCGACTTTGTCGACCCATGCTTGTATGGACGTGCCTTCAGGAGATGAAACGGAATTGTCCTCATTGCCATCATCTGATTGAGAAAAAAACAACATTGGTGAAATCCTTAATAGACAGCTGGCAGAACTACTTAAACAAAATGAAATTAAAGGAAATGAACGATGGTCTTAGCTCAGTTCCTTTGTGCCAGTCTCAGCTTGAGACCAACGACATCATATTTTGTTGAGGGCTCGGGAATTAAGAGAGAACTCATCGCTCGTTTTGTAAAATCGGTTTGGACAGTTTTGTATGTGTGACACTGGTAACAATGTTCGCACTGTAACTGAAAACAAACAAAAGGACTGAATTGCTGAGGGAAAAATTATAGAAACAAGCAGGCTTCCATAGAACAATATTACTTTTTAGCTGGCCTGAGAATTTGTATCCTTCTTTAGATCTGGACAGACTTTACAATAAGTACAATGCTAAAATGAAAATTTGTCAGAAATGGTTGGTTTGTCAATGTGTCTAAATAACATGTGATAACCTTTAACCAAGTTGCCGTGCACGGCTTCTCGATGACGTGATTTCCGAAGGGATGCAAAAAGGGAAACGCAATTTCGAAAGGTAATAAAAAGGCAAATCTCTGGGCAATAAGCTAACAGCATTAAAATTACAGATACAGTAAGCCAAATTCAAAACGCGAGTTTCATTAACGAAACAACCCTTACCGAGTACAAACGTCTTGTTGACATTATCATCCCGCTTCATTTGAAGTGACTCTGGAAGTTGCTGGACTGCGCCCGAAGAAAAAACCTGATCTATCGCCTCCTGAGTGATGTCATCGCTAGCTGGCGAGCTTCAATTGGTACCATTCTCCTCTACCTCACGGATACTATCGCCCGAAGAGGACTTTGTCGACCTTCTTACACTTGGACTCCACACTCTCGCAGAAGGCGAAGACTCACTTGTATTTCCATTGTTCGGCGATGAGCTCTTAGCAGTCCTCGCTTTCGCCGATACTGGAGTCTTGCTCTTAAACCCGCTATTCTTCACAGCTTCTCGACTGTTGTGCGCTCTCAACATAGCTGTCTTGTTTGGGCGAGGGGCTGACAAAGGACGCTTTCCCTCCTTCTCAGGAATAAGCTGAACTCCCTTCTTATCGGACTCGTCGCTTTTCCTTCGCGATTCTTTGGCCTGTCTCGTCTGTGAGGCGTCGCTTGATTCCACATCGCTATCATCTGAAGTACTGCTTATCACAGCCCTCCCCCGAGCACTATCGCCGGCTCTCTTCTCTGATTCGTTTGCAGCAGTCGGGTACGACCGCCGCACGACAGCGGACATGGTCTTGCTTCGTGCAACTCTTGGGAAGGACGTTGTCTTCGGAGAGGAGGAGATATTGGCGGCAGACATGCTTTGGCTCCGTAATACGCCAGACTGCAAAGATACAAAATGACAACTATTACTAAACTTGGTTTGCTGTTGGTTCCTCAGTGCTTCTTTGTTTCCTTTAAAAAACGCCTAGTGGGAAAAAAAATTCCAAAGCTGACGTTTCGAGCATTAGCCCCTCGTCAGAGCAAATGCAAGAAGATGGTTTTCAGAAGTTAGTTGCCGTTCTGACTTGAAAATTTACAGGGTTTACAAATTAAAGCTTTCAAGCCGGGAATTGTTTGTTTGTTTCTTTCTTTTGCAAAAAATCGCTTGAAAGAGTTTTGCATCAATTAACTTGTCAACAGGCCCTTCTCATCCTCTAACAGTGTGGAATCATATACGAACAGTGAGAAAATCCGGACTATAAAAGTGAAGAATGCAGTATATTTGCCTAAAACTGAAACAATTTTCTCAGTTGGGAGTATCTCACGTAGTGGAAGGTGCACTATGAACAGGAAATTATTCCCTACCGATGCCGTTCTCGATGTTGCCGACCTTGGTCTGCTTAAACTCGGTGACGCAACGCTTTTGATGGGTTTGGTCTTCTCTTCTGTAAAACGAGGAACAAAAAGATACAGCTGAGCCGATCAGAGCAAACATCTTCAATTAATTAATCACAAAATGCATTCGTGATCCAGAAAGATGTTTTTCCGTCTTGACACCAGTGCAGGTCAAAGACAAACTCTCAGTGCCCTTGAAGAATCGAACGTCAGACCTTTGGATTGTCGCGCTCAGTCTGATGCTGTTCTATCACTGTGCAACAGAGAACTCCATCGCGAGCCAGACAATTATTTAGCTTCGTTGTCGAGTATCAGGGCAAAGAAATGTCTGAAGTTCGATTCCTCTTGGTTACTGAGATATTTTTCCATGTCCAACGCCAGTGACAAGGCAGAAAAAACAGATATCGTTATTCATTACTAGTCATATGCTCTATGCCGATCGTAGTTAGGATTCCCATTCCTCAACCCCCACCCCTTCGTCTCCCCTACCCTCCCCACTAATCCCCCACTCTTTCTTGAGCTCGTAATTCAATAAGGCGTCTGCTATATCCTCTCCTTAAATTTCATAACTGATTGCCATGTCATTAAACATCCCTTTATCCTTTATGTGGTGATTCCTTCCAAATTATGGTCTGTTTTTAAAACATAATTAACAAAGGATAGTTCTGACAGTTTAAACTTGGAAAAAGATAATAACGGTTTGAAAATAAGCCTGGGATAAAATCCTTATTTACGAAATACACCTTTGGACTATAGCGCTGCATGACCAAAGGAGCTCGTGAGAACAGGCCCCCTTTGTCATTACTAATTGGCATAATTTTATCATTAGTCCTTCTCTGAGTAAAAAGATCTTTTAAATTATTTCGACGCTTTTAACAGACCGTGGAGGGCTGTTTAGTTCGGATACCAAAACGGATCACATGCTTCTATTTTCCTAACAGAGTCCTTCAGCATTTCAATATCTTCAAAACAAATTGAACGCCAATCATCTCGCTGGGAGATACATTAAAAATAACTTCAATCTTTGTACTCTTCCACCGAAGATCTACCAGACATTTTAAGAGCAAGCCATTAGCGTCAGACGTCATTCTTTCGACCACAACAGACGTAAAAACAAAAAAACAAAAAAAAACCTCGAAACTTGCACTTTGCTAAAAAACAAAAAATTGCGCGGGACAAATTGTTGAAATAGAGACCAGACGACAGGAAAGTTTTATCATTGGTTGGTGAAAATGTTCATCCCTACATGTACGTGGCAATAGCTTTAGTTTAGCAGACAAGGAAATCATCCTCGACCTTGATCATGTGAAAAACAAACTTACGGATTCACATCTAATATCACTGCGGCAAACACATCCTAAAAAGTTTACAATTCCTGGAAAAAAGAGGTTTCTCACGCATCTGTAAATTCACTAAACAAGCTACACGTTACAGATCTATTGTGTCTAAGGACAAAATGTTTACACTTACCAGCATTTTCAGATTCGATAGGAACTGGGATGTGACTCGACGAAGACATAGCACAGCTTTCGGCAGACTCTTCAGCCGTACTCGATGAATCGATGATCTCGACTGGATTAACTGAAGCGCTCTCTACGAAAACAATGACACCCTTTATGACAAGAAAGCTTATAATCAACTCATTCGTAAATTATCAACTACAAGGCAAAGTTATTGATACGATCATAACTAAGATGGCGCATTGGGTTTCGGTTTTATTGCCAGCAAAAGCGTTCTTATGGTTGACGCATTACTAAAACAGTTAAATAAAGCCGTGTAAAAATGACCATAATAACATTCAAAGACTCTTTTATAACACTTAGAATTGGCTCTGTATGCATTATTTCTGCCTGAGAACTAAAGATACAAGAAATTATAAAATGGGAGGGGTGGGTGGGAAAATAATAGAAATGAAATTGTTAATTTTCACCTGATAATCAATTGACCATATCACTCGCGCGCGACAAGACGCAAAGTAACATTTTGTTTCAGAATTTACTAACTTTTACACCACTTACCACGACCGTTTTTAGAGTTCGTCCACTGTTTTACCCAGCTTGGAAGAGGGGCTGGCGAAAGCGTCTAACGAGTTCAAACAGAATTATGTTAAACTTGTAACTACTAGCAAAATCATTTTTACTTGTACAATAACTGACGGCAGATGTCCATAATAGTGGTGTTAAATTGGGGGAGAATGATAAGTCCTAGCCCAAATTCATATTTCCATTTTATACAAGAAATAACATTAATTTGAATGACCAAAAAATCTCCGTTAGAAATCTTGGAGTAAGGGCGACAATAATAAAAGAGAGAAATATGAAACAGCGCGATTAAGTATGAGCATTACCGACTCTCACTTGTCAAATTTTGTTCTCATTACGTCTGCACAATGCTGTAGTTAGAAAAAGGATACAAAGACGTCTTGAAAAGTCCTGGAGATACTAAACTTTGTCGCGAACTAGCTTGCCGGCAACACAGCGGTGACACATAGAGCATGCGCAAGTGATACAATTTTGGCCAGTCGTGCGTAATTTCCCGCGCACAATTCAAAGGAAAACACAAACGACCGCTGTCACGCAAAATGTGAGCTATGTTCCTGTTCATTGGTTCACTGGCACTACCACACTAGCGATGAAGCGCTCAGGTTTCTAGGCAGCGGCGATGCGATCTGCGAGGCGTTTGCGAGGGGTCTGGCACGAAAATGGAACCGCTCGGCTCTCTCTCACGCAGACCTGTAACATGCTTGCTTCGTTCGTCGACTCAAAATTCGCAGGCTTTGCCGATCGTGACTGAACGCTGATGAGAGGCTGCTCACAAGCTAGTAACGAACTAACCTCTCGTTTATCGGAATCACCGAGCGTCACCTCCGTCAGACCAAACACGCCAAGGGATGAAGGGGTAGTTGCAACCGCTAAGCCCGAGCGGCGTGAAGGATGTGCGCTTGGCTCACATTCAGACTCGCTGGTATCACTTGAATGTTTTCTGGACCCTGAACAGAACAGAAAAAGTAATTAGCCTTCCACAATCTATCTTTTAACCTCTTCTCATTTTTTCTCTACTGCCCTCTCCCCCCTTGGAAAGGTGTACATCCGTAGTAAGGGCTGAAAGTTTCTAAAGAAATTGTGGTGCTGCGTTGGTGCGGGTAACAAGGTAATTTGTTTATATCAACTAAGTTGAAATTGTAAATTGGCCACCGTAACGAATAAAAAAGCTGACGTTTCGAGCGTTAGCCCTTCGTCAGAGCGAATGGAGGAATTGTGGGTTGTATGTGGGTTTATATGCAGAAAGCGGAGCTACGCCATTGGTGGCAACAGGCGGACGTTACGGTGGCCTATTTACAGTTTCAATTTAGTTGATATAACCAAATTACATCTGTAGTAGTATAGACTGCAGATTTCTTATTCAGAAGTTCACTCTTTCCACTGTTACATCAGTACGCATAATCTCTGTAACGTTGTCAAGACATTTCCAAAAGTAATAACATGGAGAATTTGTTTAACAATCAAGAGCTTCTCTAATGATCATTTTCTTTATTCTCTTGACCGTAAATGTTTGATTTATGGATTCTATTTTATGGGGAAATTACATGCTAGCCACAATTAGGGGTCATAGGGTTAATCCCAAAGAGTTATAATTTTTTTTTTTTTTTTTGCCACAAAGAGGCAAAGGAGAGAAAAACTGTAACAATAAAATGTCAGTTGCAAGACGGGAAATAAATCATGTTTCATGCGTGAAAAATATGGAAAGCGGCAGGATAATTGATACGGAGTTTAGATTAAAACCAGTCATACACCCGTCTATAAATACAAGAACGACTGCACCCACCCACTCTTCCTTCCCCTAATTTCCACACTCCAGTTCTCTAAGATGTCATATCCTCTTCTTTAGCAACCCTTCCCTTTCCTCACCCATGAATCCTCTCAAAAAAAAAACAAAACAAAACAAAACAAAACCAAAAACGAATACAAACTAAACAAACACACAAACACTAATGTACCTGACAATGCTTTTCCGCTCTTTGCCGGGACATCCATGGAAACAATTTTCTTTTTAATTTTACTGGTAGGTTTTTTCCTCACAATCCTCTCTTGTTTCTCTGCTGAACCCTTCCGTGTTGCATCTTGGGATGCTACTTTACCCTTATCACTTTTCAGACTCACAGGCCTTTCTGGGAGTTCATCATAGTCCGGTATGTGAGGAATTTCGTACGAAGACCCGAGTCTTGAGTGCAGTTCGCTTCCGTCATCTGGAGAACTCTCCGCAGTTGACGTCGAATCAAGCTTTCCCGGTTCGTTCAGTGCATTTGGCATTTGCCAGTCTCTACTGGTAGAATTTTCAAACACAGGAGATAACTGCTCATTATAACCCCGCCCTGGCAGAGACGACCGCTTCTCAAAGACAACAAATTCCTCTCGTTGCTTCATCGCTTGGTCCTTCTCGGGGTTTTTAGAAGTCCTAGTTGTGACAATCCTCGCTCTTGACTCAGCCAACACCGATACAGTCCCAATGCTGTGTCTCCTTTGCGCCATTTCAACCGCGTTCTTCTTAGAGAGTTTCTTCTTTCTCAAAGCAAGAGTCTGTTGATCGTCACCCCTCTCCAGGAGAGTGGCAGTGTTCGGGTAATTGTAGATTTCTTCGTCTGAGGACCCCCAACCCCACCAAGGGGGCTGTCCATACAGGGGGCTGCCCTTTACAAGCATTTCATGTTTCTCAGCAGGAACTGTGTAACAAAAAAAGAACAATAATGAGTGGGATTTGAAGCAAGGCAGAGAGGGGTCTGCGAGGGGTCTGTTGTCCAGCTACAAACATCGAATCCACTGTCAACGAGAATTGATCATAGCTGGAACAAAAAACAAGAAATCATGAGCTTTGCCCACTCACCAGGGAGAGGCCTTTGTATTCTCGGTCTGACAAGAAAAACAAAAAACATTCCATTATCATCAAAACTCATAAAAATACTGGATAATTAAATAAATAAATGCAGTTACCATAAGTGAAGGAACGATTTCTTCTCTCACATTTCTAGCAAACCATTACAACTTGGTACATGTGCAGTATGGTTATCTAAAGTATACTTGTAGCTTAAAAAATAGTCAGTGAATTTACAGGGGTTTCATTAGCGCCCAGGCACCAGGCAAATTGACTGGCTGTGAAAACGACCTTGCCCGGCTGCTTTCACAAGTTAACCAAAAAAAGACTTTCAGTTAAAACCCCAGATTGTCCTCGTGAATCCTGTAAATAAGATGTATTTGACTCTCTCAAACGATGTCCACGACGATTTACAACTTCATCTTCAATGAAAACTCACAAGAGAAGTGAATTCGCTCCAAGATGCAACTCGAAAGTTATTTTTCCCATTTGAAATTCTCCCCACTGCGAGCCATGACGACTAATAAAATAGTGCGCTCGTTTTTCCGCTCGACCCGACAAATCTCCGCCTGAGAAAAGGTCAAGAGACTAGAAGAATTACGGTAAGACCACTTACCCAGAGCAAGGCAAATATTCGAATAAATTTTACTAAAATGGCTTGCTAACTTTTCAAAACTGACCTGACTTGAAACCCCGCCACTGCTGCTGGCCCATGGGCCCAGTTCGCATGTGACCCGACCTGATGATGAACAAACCTTCCCATAGGGGTACCACCGTGGGGAGAGTGAACGGGTAACCTATGTCCGGTGCATGACGGGAAATGGCACATCACAGGGGGAGGGTGGTGATACATTGGTGTCATGTAGGGATAGTGGGGGTAGGGTGGGTGGTATTGAGAGTGAGGAGAGAGGGGAGAGTGGGAAGAATGAGGCGAAGGAACACCCTGCGGAAAGACGAAAACAAAAATATAAGATAATGACGACTTTTTCCAAATAAAACCACCCATTCACACAGCTCAGAAAAAGAATCTGAACTCATTATTACCCTATGGGATTGCTACTAAATTTGCAAGAATCCCTCTAAAGACTGATTAATTCACTAACATTTCAAGTGCCAGCATATCATAACATTTGACCCTTCATGCAACCTCCATAGGTGACCTGGACAGAATTTACACTTAGAATATACAACAACACCAACAACAACATAATATTTTTATTTAAGCTTAATAAGAAGATTACAATGCTTGGGCCCGCAAGTAGCTAGGGCTATTCGAGGTGGGCACAAGAGAGGAAAATAAAAAAAAGAAAAGAATTCTATAAAAAATGAATATTCATATGTATAATTATAAAATATAGACGAACAATCCTAAAAGAAATCTAGTTTGCGGTGTGGCTTATAGACAAAATGAAACAGGAGGGCAGACTGTAGTATATACTGGAAGTACACACAGTTATAAGTTTGAAAGCAATCCTTATTATAATCATCCTCTTTTTTCCGAATTTCAAAGAGTTTTTCCTTTATTGGGCTTTTAAATTGATTTTTTTTAAGTGTTTTGATAGGAAGTGGAACACTGTTCCAGATCAAGGTGCTAGACATATCATTACAATATCAAGCTGACAAGTGATAAGAATTGAAAAAAAAAAAAAAAGATTCAATGGGGAATTATTAGTGGATCCAGTACCAAATTCTCCAAACTAACACTATAAGAGCTGTATGGCAGACAGTAAAGAGACCTGCTTATGAGATCTTGGCAGTGAAAGGGAATAAGTAATTGAAAGAGTTCGGCAGAAATTTTGTAAAGGTATAATAAAATTAAAGATAGCCATCCATCATCATCACAGTCAAATATAGAACAATCTGCTGTTAGTATCTTAGGCTTTTCAAAGTATCAAAGTGAGCATGGAGTGCAGCTTGCTGGAGAGGCAAACATACAATGCCCTTAACCCCAGAACACCAAACATGTATTTGTTTGTCTGTTGGTTGGTGTGTGAAACCCTATTAAAATGATTCCACTAGACTTTCCAATTTGCCCCATTTTAACTATCCTGTGCCACAAGCCTTTTAATAGTTTGTAACCATCTGAACAGTTACGCTAATCATCATCAATATGAACAATTAATCAAACTGAATAAAATTTCAACTTACATGGTACATAAGAACATCTTGGTCTGGAGTCCCAGATCGACAACCATCTTCATCTGGATTAGTTTGCTGGGTGGCTGATTGGATAGAAAGTTTCCTCTCAGAAGGAGGCTGAAAAAAAAAAAAAGAAAAAACACCTTTTGATTACTACCAGTGGTCAGCCAGGCTGGTCATGTTGAAATATGGATCCAGTAACTTCGCATGGGAAAAGAAGGAACATAGCACAACATGGCATTACAGATTTATTCTTTTTAATAAATCAGTTGTTTTTTTTTTTTTCACCTCCCACACCATTTCCGATGAATGTTCATTTTCATCAAGGTGCTGCCTCTTATAATTTTTGTCATCACTGGAAATTGAGTGTCCATTTCTGTGAGGACATGGTTCCACACGGAAAGTTGTTGAGTGTGCACACGGTTAAGGGAAAAACTGGTAATCATTTTTTCCGAGACAAACACAAAATTCTACTCAACAGATACATAATAATTTAGATTTTAGTGACAGGACTTCAATGATCACAAATAATAATGATGCACTGCAATTGTTTTTTATCTCTATTAGTATCAGAGGTACAAAAAGAAAGACAACACTTTTACTATTATGTTAGCTACATACGTACCAAATTTACAACTGGCCACTTTGCTATCAATACTTATCCCAGATCTGTATATCTAGAAAAATTTAGGTATGCCCCAAAATCTCATGGTTACTTAAAAGTGAAAAAATAAGACCCAATTTCAGTTCTGACTATTGTACTAATTAACAATTATTCACCACAATGTAAGAGAACAGTGGCAGATTTAGGATTAATCGAGCTGCAAAGCAGCTAGGTAAATATCCACCTGACTCTCACAACATTGAGGTGAATAATTTCTTTGAAAAAAGACCATGCCTAAAAGCTGTAAAAATTCTGTAATTGTTTTAATATACACAAACCAAAAAAAAAAAAAGACAAAACAAAAAGTTAGTTTATTTCCACCAATATACAAAAGAAAAATGGTCAGAAATTAAACTTTTGATGCACAATTGTATCTTTGACTACTCTGAGGTGAAAAGCACTTGCTAATTGCTTCCAAACTAGCCAATCGGCATGCATGAATTTAGCAATATTCACCAGTATGCAACATAATAATCATCATTAGTATATACTAAAACAGTGGATAGCGTTGAAGGTGCGCTTTGATTGGCCAGTCAAACTCCAAATATCCTTTGCTATTTACCTCTGAGCAACTCGGGAAAAAATGGCGTCTCGGTTTGCATCCGTGACAAGCGAAGAAATCAATCAAATTAATGATGGTGGTGTATATTATCTCACTGTTTTAGTATATACTAAAACAACTATTCACCTCAGTGTCGCTGGTTAGCCGTGGATATTTACCTGGCTGCTTCGCAGCTAGGTAAATATCCACCAATAACCACCTCCACTTTGGTGAATAGTTGTTGACTAGCATAATACTGTACTACACAAGTTAACAGCGTTTTTTAGCACATTGTGCTGATTGGCTAGTTTGGGTTATAAGTGTTATTCATCTCTGAGCAGCTGATC